AGAGAGAGAGAGGGAGAGAAAGAGAGAGAGATAGAGAGAAAGAGAAAGAGCGAGAAGGATGTGTGGCTACCTTCTGTGTCGACACCCTTCCTGCCGGCTCGCCCGACCATCTGCTTGTAAGCCAGCATGTCTATCAGCTTGCCGTTGAACAGCGGCGAGCGAATAATCACGCGGCGCGCCGGAAGATTCACCCCTGAAGTTTTAACATCGGAGAAATCATAAAATACAAAAAAAATTACAGTTTTACAGTCAAAGAGGCACTAGTGATCACCTCCATGGAATGGACAACTGTCAGTTAGGTACACCTTCAGCATTTCCTTTGACGTTTGAGTGACTCTCATATACAGATTTGACTGTATATGAACGTGAAAATTGTGAAAAAAGTTTTCACCAGGATTCCTTATTATTGAGTGAAATTATGATTTATGCTATTGTAGAAATATCAGAAGGCGATGGGAGGGAGTGTGGCAGGCCAAAACACTCGCAATTTAATATTCAATAACCTCATTCTACCTCTAATCTATTACCTGTAACTATATAAGCTCCCACGTACTACTTGCAAAAAATGTACAAAAGGTACAAAGGTACATAAGGTACAAAGCATAACTATAGACATTTATTTACAAGATGGTCACACTAGCCATGCTTTGATATGACACGAGCATACCTGAACACAGCGTGGACGTGGCTATCAGTACTTTTACTTGCCCGTGTCGAAACGCTCCCTCTATGATATCCCTCTCATCCATTGTGAGGCCTGCGAAACAAAGAGTTTCCATGACAACAAACAGTATCTCGGATTGCGACGGATTCTGCATGTCCTGCTAATATTATACCGATTCGCTGCTTCTCTGAGTTATACGTGAGCTTGTAGGGGGAATTTGCAGCTCTCACAAGAGAAAAATATGTGCAAGTTATTGAACTTTTTGTGCTTTTTACGGAATTAAAGTGCAATTCGATATTTGAGTTGCTCACACACATGCACACATGCACGAACACACTTACATATACACACATACACGCACGCACGCACGCACGCACTCCATATCCACACACACGCCACGGCCACGCACTCTACGGCGGACGCACGCACGCCACGCACGGCACGCACACACACACACATACACATGCAGTGCGCATGCACGTACGCACACAACAAACATGTATGTAGGTATAACGTAACCAGCATGATTGAAATGCATCTCCGTACTGCAAGGTCCGGCTGAGGATTTGCATCGGACACCACTGGGCCGTCCGTTAAGCCGCCTTCCAAGCACGTCACGCAATGCCGCCGCGTCTAGCTGCATGAGGGGGCGCCGCGGTACGCCGGGCTGGGGTTAAAACAGGTAAACAGGTTCGGAACTATAGATGACAGATTGCTTTCAACAAACCGAACATCAACTCCTTTACTAAAAGTTTCAGAACTCTCAAATTACTGACACTAAAGCTTGCACACAATTTTCTCATTCATTTCAGGCATTCGTGCCCGGCCTTACCGCCCTTCCCCTATACACGAGTCTCCTCGTGACTAGCCGGAGCCACCCGCTGGCCTGGCTTGGAGCCGCTCCAGGGCGGCTAAAGAGTACGAACTTACTGTATTCACATATATCTACATCCACGATCGGCCAGCAGGAATGAATTGGAATTTACTCTACTTACAGTATAGTCTACACGCCCGACTCGCCAAGCCAGCAAATTGGGGTGTGAGAATTTACTCTACTTACAATATCTACCACGATGCGATTCGCCAACCAGGAATGGAGTAGAACATACTCTACCACACATATATCTACACACAATCAACAGAACCAAGGATCAAGTTAAAAGCGCTTGACTGACCTTTACTTACAGTGACTTAGAACTGTATCCCAAAGAGATGGATACATCTGGATGCATACCACCTTAAATTTCTGTCGCTGTTGCTTGCTTGGCCCGTCAACCATACCTACATCGTGTCTTTAGAGGTGATCCAGAAGAGATGTGTGGAGTATATCCGCCTGTGATGTCCGTAGCCGGTTTGCTGGTTTGCTATAACTAGACCGTATACTACTCAGTATCTTAGAGAGTGATCCAGAATGAGATTTGTGATGCAATACTCCGTAACGATCCTACCACTTGTTATTTCTTGTGCAACTAAACCTACACTAGATTGAGTTGATCCAAAGATATTTTATGGATGATACGCCGTTGACGTCCGTCTCGTTGCTTGCTGCGTTAACTAAGACCAGTATACTACGTTGTCTTAGACCGGTAATAAAACAGATGTCTGGATGCGATACCGCCCGTGACGTCCAGTCGGCCGTGCGTTCAGTTCGCGGAGATGTTGTAGAACTCTCTCGCTGCTGTATTGCCAGGCACCTTTCGCACCCACTTCTTCCGTTCGGAAGACACCACAAGTTACGGGACTGACCGGCAGGTCACCGTCTCCACACACAGCTGCACGACTCCGTCGAGTCAGCCTGCGGTATTGAGATAAACAAGTACTGTATACGCCATATTTTTCGGGTACAGATATTTTCGCAAATTCAGACTTGAGCGACAATTTCGCAAATGGTTAATTTTGCGCGTCGGTGATTATGGAAAATTATTCGGTATGAATTATTCGCGTGTTGTTAATTTCGCGGTCTGGGGGACGCATTCACGAAATTCGCGAAATTACCACCGCGAAATATACAAGCGTATACAGTATCATTGGCATCACGCCAGCAAGGCTAACGAGAAGGGTTCGACTTCAGGAAATAGAAACGATTTTGCAATTTTGTGAATTTTTCACTTATCGATTTCATAACCCGCGTACCTGACCCCCTCCATCATTTTTTGTCTTCAGTCTTCGGTAGACCTCCACACAACGCATCGCTCCTCTATGTCGGCAATCTTTCAAAGATCTCAATGTTTCAGAGATCGTTCGACAACAACTGGTTTCGACCAAGCACAGCTGTCGCGAGTTAAACATTAAATTTGTTTTGCATTGTCTCACAAGCTGTTTGTGGAGATTACATTATTATCTACAGGTAACATTGATTGGCCCTCACGATGTACGTCTGTGAGTGACAGACCAGCACATTACACGCCATGCTTGTTTGCACTGAACTCTCACGAGAGCATGACCCAAATAAAATATAAAGGATATTAGGAATATTTGACATCTTGAGTCAATAAACTTACTGATGCCAACAGCTTGTGACGTTACAGTTGTCTTTTATTTCATAATCGATTACTTATTTTCGATAAAGAATGTCGCTGTTGCTGCTTCTGCCTGCAAACCACTATGACTCATATCTATAATCGATCCATCATCAAGACATCACGTATATTCTACAACATGCCCATTATTGCACCAAACCCTACGACCCTTACTTTGACGGCGCTCTGGTACTGGCGGAACGACCTTAGCTTGTTGAGCTTGGAGTCGTATATTTCGCTTTGCAATCTTCCGTTGTTTTTCGGCCAGCGGCCCGGCACGGTCCGAACCCGCGGTTCTGTACACTAGCAAGGTAGTCTGTGTGTGAGTCTAGCCTGACCAGCGCGTGCAGAGAATAAGGTGCAAGGTTTGGGGGTAAGTAGCGCTCATGCCAACTATCTGCCACACGCCGTCGCACCTGCGGCAAGACAGACGAACGTCGAATGCCTCGGCGATTCACTGCTACGAGCTCCCTTTTACAGTGAACATTTTCTCTCTCAATTTTTTACAGTAAAAATTTGATGACGGGTTATCTTTTCAAGTTCGAGCTCCCGAGCGTTTGAGATGTACATCGAAATCTAGGTGGTTCTGCGGGAAGTCTGGCCAAAAAGATGCCCGAAAGGTTTAAGAAATTTCACAGAAAACGTTAAAAATAGTGTTTCTCCTTATAATACATATTTAAATTATAAACCATCAACTCACAACACCTTACAATTTATGAATCACCAGACGTGACACTGTTTGCTTTCACACTATGTTTCACTTTAACATTGCCTTTACTCTCTCCACTTCAAATCATGTTCTCCGGACCCTTCACCTGGTTAGCCTCATTCTTCAGTCGTGTAGCGAATCTTCGTCAGTAGCATTCTAGAGGTAACCACGCGTTTTAGAATCCCCGATCATGTGAAGCTCATCACTACAACAATGCCTGCATGCGCGCACTACTACGGCACAGAGAGAGAGAGAGAGAGAGACGGGAATTGTCAAGGTGACGAAAATTTGACTTTTTCTTTTGTCAGTTAGTTACAGGTCATTAAAAATAACTCAGGGAACATGGCGAAGGACAGTGGCAGACAACGAAAAGGATTACATTAGCGGATTAAAATATGGACAAAGCCGAAAGAGCGGCCAATAGAATAGAAGCGTCATGCGATTTCGTTTCCAACCTATGTCTCCCGATGGGAGAAGGAACTAGAAGGAAGAAATTATCCGTGGGACGAACACGTATATAATTTATAGGAAAGTTGCGTACACTTGCGCAAGCACCCGCAAATGCAGCATTCTGAGCGTGTTGTACGCTTTCTCCTTCAGGTGTGTCGACCACATAAGAAGTGGGCCTAGAATGTTACCCACAAATGTTAATCCGAGGACATTACAAAAGATCTGCCTTTGTTTATCGACGTGTGAAATGGAGCAAGCCGCAAAATAAACCGTTGCAACAATCGTGTTGCAAACCGCGTGCAACGTCGCATCGCAATTCGATTTCAATAAAAATTTACATTCAATTAAGCTCTACGAAATTTAGCTCTGACGTGGGACAGAAGATGAAATGAAAAAAATAAAAAAATTATATAATAAAAAAAAATAAACAAAAATATGAAGAAAGGAGAAACGACAGAGAGAAAGTGGGACAGCTCTCTTCTCGTCGTCGTCACACTTCGGAAACACGGACCCCCCCCCTCGCCCCCCGAACGCGACGTCATCTCACCTAGCTCGTCTAGCTTCTTCTCCTCCAGTAGTCTGTTGACGAGACTGTTCGCCTTCTCGATCGTGCAGATCGCGATGTCGATCGATGAGAAACCTCCGACGGGTCGATGGTGACCCATGTATCCGTCCACGCGCAGGCCTCCACGTCGAAACAGACTCTGCAGCGAAACCAACGTACCGCGTGTAGTCGGGAACCTCTCTACGTGAAACTCAATCTTTCCTAGCGGGTGTTCACGCCGCTGACATGGGATTTTACTGTCCATGTTGCTAATCATCGCCTCCATCCTATCGGTGTTTGCGTGAATGCATCCAGGCCGAGTCTCCATTGCGAAAAGTTCTAACAGGTTACGTGCGTGAATGATTTTGTAGCATTGATACAGGAACACCTTCGTCACCTTCCTCGTCCGCATCACTGCCGTTATAATCATTAGCAGGTTCTTCTTATTCATCGTCACCAACATCATCATCATCATCAACATCATCATCATCATCGTCACCAACATCATCATCATCATCATCATCATCATCATCATCATCGTCACCAACATCATCATCATGATCAACATCATCATCATCATCATCATCGTCGTCACCATCATCATCATCACCATCATTATCGTCCCCAACATCATCATCGTCATCATCAGCAGCAGAAGTAACATCAACAGTCAAACAAGCAAGCAGATTATAACAACAGAGGTAACGCTAGTCAAGTCTTCGGGGCCACGCAAAAAAAATAGTGCTGAATATGAACAAATGCTCTTCAATTCACCTGTAGGTAGAACATCTTTTCTCTAGCGACGGAGACAAACGGCAGAATGTAGATGGCTTTCCGCTGCGTCTCCAAGATTCTTTTGAGTATAAGAAGCTCAGCTACCATTGTCTTGCCTGCGCTCGTTGGTGCCGAATACACCTGCATATACAAGAGAGGAAATATGGAACAGCATGCATGCATGGCTAATTACCCAGCTACGGCACTTATTTTACGCAGACTATCCCAGTGGTCGTATTTGAGCGACAATTTCTTATGTGACTATGCTATCTTTCAAGTTTTCCCATCAACATATTGCTTTTTAAACTGCCTGAAATTACAAATAAACATATGCACAACAATTATTCCCGTCGAAATATGTTGTGTATGTTTGAAATCTCTTGCTAGGTATTGTAGTGATGTGAATTCATACCAGGTTTTTCCCTTCGAGTACCTCCGGTTGGCTCAGGCAATCTGCTTGCCATGAAAACATTTTTTTTATGTTGTTGGCATGGTAACTTTGCAGAATTGCGTCTGGAAGTCCCCAGTACGATAGTAAAAGTTTCTCTCCAGTACTGCTGTCAACACCTGATTGTCAAAATTAAAGATAGTTACACTCATATATAATAAATACACTTCATTCAGTTACAGCTATGAACTTCTATTATATTAACACCAAATACCATAAGAAATAGGAAACAACACACACAAATTTAATTAAAGCATTTCCTTAAAACATAACTAGAAAGGACAGTTGT